GTGCCCTGCTTGGTAAGGTGGATCCCATCTCTCCTTATCAACTGTCGATCTTCAAACAGGGCCCCATGGTCATAGAAACCAAAGCCCTGTTGCCAACACCAGCGGTGCAGCTAGTTGTTAACTTGGAAAACTCGTCTACTCCTCCTCCCATCCTTTCCCCTCACAGGCAAGATTGAGGAGAAAACGACCTGGGCTCCCAGACCCTTCACCACCATTCCCAGAGCTCTGAAGTCCTGTTTGATGGTTTCCAATTTGCCTTTCGTGTCATTAGTGCCCACACGGAAGATCAGCAGAGGGTAGTAGTCTGATGCATGGACAAGCCTTGGCAGTCTTTCCACGACATCTCTTATTCGAGCCCCTGGCAGGCAGCAAACGTCTCTGGACAAGAGGTCAGGTCGGCAGATAGGTGCCTCTGTCCCCTGCAGCAGGGAGTCACCCACAGCAATCACTCGCCGCTTCTTCTGGGTGTTCCTGCACGGCACAGGGTCTGCCAGGCCAGTTGCCTCCCTTGGAGCCATGTCCAGCTCCTCCTCAGCTTGGAGGGCGCTAAACTTGTTCTTCAAAGGTAAATCTTGAGGAGGAGCAAGAGCCTTCCTTCTTCTACGAGGTCACCAGCTTCCAGCCCTCTTCAACAGTGTTATGATGTACTGTTTCACATGGTACAGAGCCCTCTGGCAACTCCACTGCAGTGGGGGGTGGGGACTCCTGGAGCTGCACAGTCTCCAGGAATACTCTGTCAATCTCCTGCTCATCTTCTCAGATGCTATGCGGCCTACTGACTTCCTCCCGTAACTCCTTTATCTGGTGACGCAACTGGTCAACCACAGCACACCTCACACAGGAGAGCTGACTGTCAGCCCAGGCCGGCCCCAGGCACTCCCTGCAGCCTGACACCTGCAGAGCTGCATCTGCTGCCTGAGGGTCTGTCTGGGTTGAAGCCTCAGACACAGCTGATGCAGCACCTCCAGCAGCCACTGGGGAACGTGCTCTGCGGCACATGCCAGGGGAAGGACGCACCACTATGGAAAATGAACATGCCTTCTGCAGATACTGCTGCCTCTGTTCACTGTGCTCTAGGCCTGGCTCTTACATAGGCCTCTGCCTAGCAGTGACTCACAGGGTGCTTGACCCACCCAATCAAGCGCCACCTGAATCAAAAGCCCCAACTCCCTCTGACCAGGGCAGTCCAGAGAGCTCGTTAGCAGCAGCCCCACCTAGCTAGAACTTCCCAGGGGAAGTTAAGTCAAGGCCTCCTGCAGTTGTTCTTGCCTAGCTCTCCCTTCCTGCTAGCAGCAAGCACTGTCTAGTTCCTCGGGGGTCCCCAGAAAGCCTCCACAACTTCCAACAAGGCCCACAAAAGGCCAAAGCAGAGCCCAGACACTGCTGCGCAAACTGCTGCGTCTGTTCGCTGCCTCTGTTTGCTGCACTCAGTACATCCAGGTGTTTCCTGTACCGGGGAGCCCCGAACTGGATCTAACGCTCCAGATGCAGCCTCACTAGGGCCGAGTAGAGGGGAAGAATCACCTCCCTCCACCTGCTGACAACATTCTTCCTAATGCAGCCCTGGATGTTGTTGGCTGCCTTTGCCACAGTGGCCCGTTGCTGGCTCATGTTCAACCTGTTGTCTGCCAGGACAACCAGGGCCTTTTCTGCAAAGGTGGTTTCCAGTTTGTTGGCTCCCAGCCTGTACTGGAGCATGGGGTTATTCCTCCCAGGGTGTAGGACTGGGCATTTCCTTTTGCTGAACTTCATGATGTTCCTGTCAGCCTGTTTCTCCAGCCTGTCAAGGTCCATCTGAATAGCAGCACAACCATCTGCTGTATCAACCACTCCTCCCTTCCTGAGCGCTGGAACAGGTTACCTAGAGAGGTTGTGGAGTCTCCTTCCCTGGAGATATTCAAAAGCTGTCTGGACCCAATCCTGGGTAATGTGCTGTAGGTGACCCTGCTTGAGGAGGGGGGTTGGACTAGATGATCTGTGGATGTCCCTTCCAACTTCAACCATTCTGTTATTCTGTATTGTAGTTTGACTTCTGTATCAGTAGCTTGACTTAGCTACTGATCTATTTAGATAGATTTTTTTTTTCTTCTTTTTCACTTTGAAACTGCTTTGTGGCTACAACCTTTTGATTTTCCTGAAAAAATATTTTTCTTTTCCCTCAGTTTTTCAACTGTTTTCTTTGCTATTCTTACATAATAATGCTAAGAGATAAAACTGTATGGGTGTGACTCTTACAGGGACACTTACCATTTGCTGTAGTAGGAAGTACGGAAGAGGTGAAAATTGGAAACAAAATGGTGAAAGCTCGTCAGTACCCTTGGGGCATTGTGCAAGGTAAATGAATTCTCAAAGGTATTTTTGCGAGAATGAAATTTTTTGTTAAAATATAAAATTTACCAATACTAAAAAGGGTTTATATTAGCTGGTGATGCCTTATTGCTCGTATTTTGCGTCAACAGTTTAAAGAATTTAACAATTAATATTTGAGGTATGCACTAATTGGTACCTCCTTCATCAACGCATTCTCAGAATCAAGTTGTGAGATGGTATATGTAATACTTGAGTAGGTTAGTATTGTAGAAGTAGCTCTAGCCCTACTAAATTTTAAAGATTTTTTTTTCACGTTGTTAGAATGCAAAAGCAGGAAAAAAGAGAGAAGTTTATCGTTCAACTCAAACAGGAAATCAAGAAGGATTGGGTTGTGCTCACCAATACTTACAGTTAGTGCTTGGTTGTGTGTATTAGAAATTATGATGAAGCATGATAAAAAAGTAAAGGGATAGCTTATGCAGGACATATAATCAGTTAACAAAATAAAAGAAACTCAGTGTTGTTTAAAATACATTTTGACAATTTTGCTGCTTGTATATGATAATCTAATCTCCTGCTTTTAACTGAGTAGTGGAAAATGAGAACCACTGTGACTTTGTGAAGCTTCGTGAGATGCTTATTTGCACAAATATGGAAGACTTAAGAGAACAGACTCACGCACGACATTATGAGTTGTACAGACGCTGCAGACTGGAGGAGATGGGCTTCAGAGACATTGGTCCTGAGAACAAACCAGTCAGGTAAGGGACTTGCACGTGCAGTGCTGGCTCTCAGCATCCAGTCAATTCATATTTGCCTATATCAAACACAGAGTAAAGTTCATACATAGAACAGTTTTTCCAGGGGACAGGGAATTATTTTTGTATCAGGATATTGCTGCTCATTCGCTTATCTTAATGGACCAGGATATGGAATATAAGAGCATTGCTTCTAAAGGTATACGAACTAGTTATGTTTCTGAAATATTACTGTTTGATAGTAAAGCTGAAGATTTTAATTTTCATCATGGAGCATGTCTGTTTTCTTCAGAAACATACACTTTATGCGTTTTAAATAACTTTCGTTGTACACCAGGTTGCTGTTTTTACTTTTTCTCTTACTAATATCTGATTCTGAACAACAGAATGATTAGACTCAAAGTTCAGAAGAATCCGAAGCAAAAACTTTCACAAAATCATTGGTTACATTGTTAACTTACCACATTATCTGCTATAATAACAAGTGTCTAGACTTTTCAGATCAAGAAATCTCTTGTTAGACTATACAGAAAGTTAATAGAGGATTCCAAAGGAAAGTTAAGCAAAGGCATAGAGACTCTTGATTGTTTCATGTAATAAAGCTGCTTTCTGCGGGAGATATTTTCTGTTTCTGTATCTGATCTCTTTAATCTTTTATTTCCAGTTCTATAATCTCCTTCCCCCTCTTCCAACTTCCTTTGCGGTTGTTTTATTTGTTAGACCAGGCCAGTCAATATCAGTATCACCTGTCAGCAAATCCCTACCTCTGAATGAAGCAGGTACTGTCTCTTAACACTTGGGAGCTTGGGGGTATTGCAGTAGGGCGAGAGGGTCATGAATGACTTGAAAGTACCTAAGGCTATTGCACATGAGAAGTCCATGAGGATAATCCCCATAAGTTAGGAATATTTAGGAAGTATGGAGGGATGCTAATAGTACAGTTAAAGTGTAAGGACGTAGGCAGCACTCTAGGTATTGCATTGTTTGAGAGAAGACTACCAGAATGTAAAATGTCATCTATAGGAATTGAGACTATTAATTCTATTGCTTCCAGGACACCTTATTTATATTGAGATTTTTATCAAACAACTATATAGTTAAATTGTGAACATAATGAATCTCATTCATATACCTTGCAGAAACAACATGCAAGTCTTTTTCTATGAAAAGAAGTTATGTTAAGTCATGTAGTGGGATGTTATTCCAAGAGGTGTTAAGGATTGCATGTGACCAAATGCCATATCATATTAAAAAATAGTATGTGGTAAGCCATTGTAAAAATTAAGAATCTGTCATTTGGTGCTTCAGGGGATAAATGGAATACCATGTAAGGCTAAACTTAGTCGTATAGTTATAATTTGAGTTTCAAGCAGTCAGTCAGTAATAGGTTTGGAAAGCATGTTATTACAAACTTTATGAAACAAAGTTAATGGATAGCGGAATATTCGAGAGGATGGTTTGCGTGTTTTATGCATTATGTTACAGGGTAGAAGTAGACCTCTTTTTTGTGGATGGTCTAGTCCTGCATCATTGATGATTGTAAAGTTCAAGCCAATCTCAGCAAGAGATAATTACTAAGATGTTCAGAATGGAAAAATTTGAGGCGTAGATGAAAGCAGAAATCTAGATATCAAGAGGGCTTCAAGCCAAAGAAACTTCTACCTGTATGTGTACGCCTAGTAAGTTTAGATGTTTACAAGGGAGGAGAGGATCATTACTTGCAGTTGGACGTTTTGAAAGTCCTTTTTTGAGTCTAAGCTCTGTTGTTACCAAAGGGAAAATTCTTTCTTTGGAAGAAGAAAACTGAAGGGCAAGGGTCTGTTGAAAGTAGGCAAAGTAGTATTCATGCGTATACTTGTTCATTGGGATTCTCTGAGGTTAATCATTCTCTAGTTATTTTTCTGTGTTCATAATTATGATTTGCTCATCATAGACTTCTCAATTACTTGAAATGGTACAGAATGCACCAAAGTGGAGCAATCACTCTCTGCTTTAATTCTCCCTGAAACTGAGGTATTCAGACCTTACAGTTCTCAGAAAAAAACATGTTTATTTTTCAGTCTGTGTACAGGATGATGAGAGAAAAACAGGAAGGATTCAATAACCTCAGTAAGTTCGCATATACAGGAAGGCTGATATGACTGTAGCTGCCTTTCCTGAGAAAGGAAACTAGCGTATCTAAAAGAATATTAGACTTTTCCTTAGCAAGTCACTTTAGGAATGAAGTTAATTTGACCAAGTGTAGACCTTTGCACTTGAGCTAAACTTCTTGGTCTTCTTACAGTAAGACTGAACCCCATCCAAAATGCCTCTTTTCCAAGCCTTTACTGGGAAAATGGTAATTATCTGGATCTACCACATTCTACGTGTTACTATGTATCAACTTTAGAAGGCCTCTAAGTCAAGGAACTGTGCTAAAAATATTTGTCACTGATTAACTTATAATTTTTTTAAATTTTATCTGATATACCTTAACTGATGTTGGAATGTTTTGCGAAAAGTTCTATGTGTAATTTTCAGATTGATTTTTTTTTTTTAAGTGAACAAACTGTAAAATGTTGTTCAGATATTTATCTTGTAAACTTCTAAGTGTGCAAACCAAATTGTGCAAAATATGCAACATTGTCTTTCACCAAGAGTTGAATTCACTTAAATCAGGGTCTTTGTTTAGGAACAGAACTTTTTTGATTTGCATCTTTGTTTTTAGGCTTCCATGTCCTAAATCTTATACAGATAGAAAAACTGTATGTCACAGCTATGCTTCTGTAGAAAGGTAGGTGATAGTGCTGTTATGAGGTATGTAATAGATTAGTAAGGTGTATGCTTTCTTCAAAATCCCTTCCCTTGCTTACTTTCCTGCAGAACCTCTGTAAGAATAAATTATTTAAATAACTATTTTTTAACTTCTTCGTTTGTCAGATGGAGTTGTACGGAGTGTAAAATTCTAGGAGTCCAACTCAGAAGAGGGAGAATATCTGTAAACTTGTTTTTCGTAATGGATTGTATGAAGAGCAGTGAGACTAGTCTTATGTAAAGTGAAAAGCCTTTTTATGTTTGCAGTATATGCAGTTACGTTGAAGGGATAGTGTTGGCATAAATTCTCATGAACTATTAACTCCCCCAGCCCACCCCCCCCCCAGCTCCATACCAATGATGAT